TGGTGCTAATTCTTATACTTTTTAGCCAGGGCAGATTCCCAAAGCTCTCTAGCCCTGGAGGGTGGGGATATATAGCAGGGGACTCTAAGTCTAAATGCATGCTTTCACACACCCTGGGCAGTGTCTGCCAGGGGGCTCCTTGTCTGACCCACCTTCTCTGAATGGAACCTTCTGAGTGTAGACAATAGCCAGTCTCAGGAGGTGTGGATTCCCGGCAGCTGCTGGGTTGGTCTCTAGGGGCCAAAGGCTCACAGGCACAACAGGGTGACGTCTAGGCTGTGACCAGATGGGCTTCCGGGGAGCAACTGGTATTCCTCTGAGACACTGAGATACTCTGAGATACCTTCTCTGAGATGAGAGCGCTCTTCTCAGCGGAAGGCCTTACACGAATCCAAGCTGTTTGAGCCATTATATACTCGATGTGTGTATGCCATTCACAAGTATTTTCAGATACTCACTTGTCTAAACCATTGATCAACCTGTGAAGTTCTCATTTCTGTTTCATAAATGAGGAAGCTCAGAAAAGGTGACTTGTCTCAAAGTTTGGAAACTTACCAGATTTGTCACAGACCAGGATTTGGCACAAGTCCATATTGGCTTTATCCAAGGAAAATGAATTACAGAGATGGAGAACTTATTTCAACATAAAATGACCTCTATTGCTAGGCAGCCCACAGCCTAGGTGGGTGTTAGTGAGTTTTGGAGCCAGAACTAGAACTCCAAACCTGTCAGGTACTAGGGCAGGGACTTGGGCAAGTAGATGCTCATTCTTGCTTCCCTCATTTGTGAGATGGTATTTCAGAGGATAAATGACACTACCTAAGTAAACACTGTATTCATACCTTGAACATGTGGATAAAAACACAGCATCTCTTGGTAATTATCTTTCCTAACTTCATTTCTACCTTCAAACTAGACTAGAAATGGGCTAATTGGGATTTTCCTCTGCCCTTCAAAAGTTTGCTTTGGGTTCAAATACTTGAAATTAAACCATAGGAAAGGAAATCTGCCTCACCTGCAGGCCAGCTGATACATATGGGGCAATCTACCTTTTCTAGGCTGGCTGGTCTTGGGAGATTTTCCCAGTGGCCTGGCACCATGGTGATTTACCCGGCACGCTTGACTGAGCATGGCCCTGGCTGGGAGGATTATATTTCATCCAATGTTGAAATCACTTGAAATTCCTCTTGCTCATCCAAAGACACAGAAATAAAAGAAGCAACTCATGGTCCTGCTGAGGCGAGATCTTTATTGTTAGCTGTTCTTGCATCTTTTATATTCTATCTGCCAAAAATAGATGGCTCCAAGTAATGTAAGAATCACACGCACATGGATGTTACTGTATACCTCACACATTTCACCAAAAGATCAAATTATATTTTTACTGTCTTTATAGACTTTAGAGCTCTATAGAAGCTTTTGAGTGGAAAGATGACATTTTTATCACATTCACTTTTTCAACATACCAACATTCAGAGGGTTCATTCTTGGGTGGGACGAGGCAGGAGGCCAAACCATCTTTTGTAAATGCCCTGGTCTCAAAACTGTCTAGAGACTAACCCACATGTACACACCGTAACTCAACTGAAGTGCTAGCCAAACTCTTACCCCCCTCTTCTTCTTCATGACTTTCTCATTGTGGTGAAAGCCCCTTCACTTCCTGCATTTCTATTTTACTCCTTAGTATTAATAGAGGGATGGTGCTCAGCTACTTGAGGAGCTGAGGATTCACGAAGTCATTCTAAACCACTTCTCAGACAGGTCTCCCTGAAATATTCACTTGTCCTCTGTTTGACCACTGGTTACCAGAGTGAGTCATCCATTGGGCTTTAATCCACAGGAGGCTGGAATGACAGCAATACCAAGGCTATGACTTTATTAAAACTCTCACTTCCCTCAAACCTGATTATTTCAAAGCTATTTTTATTTGATGATTGCTTGTGAGTTTGTGTCAATTTGCAAGTTTTTTCCAAACCACCTTCTTAAATCAATGTAAAAAGAGCTTATCTTCTCTCATATATGCAATTCCTTAACAGATTCAGGAGAACAAAATCTCTCTTCCACAGATGACTTCTACAGGCTGTGGGGTAAAAGGAATACTCTTTACAAAATACGAGTTGGGGTTAGAAACTACATTCAGGCCTTTTATTTATATCTACACACACACACACATACATACATATATATATATATCACTATATAGTTACAGGTTATACATTATATATAAATTTTATAGTTATGTATTATATAATACAGTTTACATGTATATAAAAATATGATTCCCCAGAGATCCAATCCATATATAGATCTAAGGAACAAGGAAAGTAAAATCTAAAGACCAAAAATTTCTTTTGGATTCTGGATCCTTAAAGAAACCATACTTCCACAGTGTTGCCATTATTCCTATCTGTATTTAAGACACACACCTAGAACATGGACCTATTGTTGGTCCCTTGTTCACTGTCTTGTCCATTTCAGATAAGCATGATGCAGTCTACACACTCAGATCCATTCACATTTATGACTTTGTTTTTAAAGGTAAGTGCTCACTTCTCCTTTATCTACACTTTTCTAAGGATTTTCTCCATACTTCTTTTGAGGCATGTTGCAAGTTTTCTTGAAGAAGAAACTGGTACAGAACTCAGCACGACCCTGGGAGTACACTCTGGTGACTTGCTGCTTGTGACCTAATAGAGACTTCTACAGGTTCCTATTTCCTCCCATTCAATAGTTTAGTACTTGTACCTTTTCTGGACCCTCTGCCACTTCAAATGTGCCTCTTACATATAAATATTCCTTCGCATGTAACTCAGAGCTTAAGCCATGTTCCATTGACTTCTGAAACTTCTGCTGACGTCTGCTCTGTCACATTTCCTAAATATAAACACTCGGAGAGGAGTCACTCTTTTCAGATTCAGCAACTTTGTTATCAGTTATTCCGCTAAAAATTTGTAGTCACCTCTTTTATCTATTAAAGAGCGTAAAATATTTCAGATAAATCTAATAAGAGTTTCACATTAATTTAATTAAATCTAAGAGTTTCACAGGTACTTTATCAATGAGAAATATTGCTCTTGAAGCAGAACCAGCTGGAAGAAAAAGCTTGAATGAAATAAGCCTCTATGCATTTTCTAAGGAAGTGTCTATCTCTACCCCAAAATTACAAATGAAATAAAACCAAACGATAAACTTCTAGTGGCAGTGGGACCCGAATGTTTATTACTGCCTCACTTTCTTCTAAACAGGCAACTCTTTCTTGTCTCTGTCGCTTCTCTTCTATTTGGTACTCAGCCAACCTCTGAGACACAACTGAACTCCCCCCTCCTCCAGAAAGGGATTTCGGGTCCTTGTTGAGCTCCTTTTCTTTAACTCCCTAACACTTAAAAACACCTGTGCCTCCCAATTTCAACCAGTATTGATGTCTTCTATGCATACAAGCTCATTTCCACAAATGCAGACTACAGAGCAGGGCCTTATGTCCCTTGTATTGCCACAGTGCCCAACCCAGAGTCCTTTTAACACTGACCTCATGAACCCTTGTGGGAAAAAGACACAAGCTAGGTCCCCCCATCCCATCTCATGCAGCCTATGGGTGCTAGCCCTTTCTGACTCCTGATTCACTTAAGAGCACAGGAGCTTCAAGTAAGTGAACTAAATTAATCTGGGTCCCGCATCCAAGATGGTGGGGTTTAACTGGTAATGTGAAATACCGTTACACCTGGGAACTTTTGGGTTTATGCTGCACCACTAGTCCACAGACCTGACCACAAATGACCTTTCTATTAATTCCCACATTTGCCCATTGGTGTCTTTCACAGTGTTTCTCTCAAGAACATTAAACACAGCGCCCTGTCCCTTTGTTGTGAAACATGGAGGCTGTGCTATATATTGTTTCAGAATTGCTGGCATTCTCACTGGGAACAGAGTGGGCCTCACCCTCTCCTCATGACTAAGTCCAGAGAATGTGTGGTAAAGGAGTTTTGTGACATTTTAACCTGAGTACTATTCCAACCATTGTCTGTGAATGCTTGCTTACAGGGCCTGTATCGCTGTACTGCTGATCACCATAAATACGAGGTAAGCTGCTCTGAGCTGTACCCAACCCCAAAACATTTGTGAACACTTTATAAAGCATGCTGTATTACAGCACATCTTCATTTTCCTAATTTCAGAAGTCTGGTGGGCCTACTCTTTTCCCCAAACAGAATTTTAACATCTCTAATGCTCTTGTTTTTGCCAAGCGTGGGCAACAAATACCGCCTTTAACACTAAAATTGTGTCACTGACCTATAAGGACATATAATGGGGATTGTTTTCCAGTGCTGGGGATAGAATACATGAATGTATTTTCCAACTCTCTACGGCAAAGAGGTGCAGTGACAGAGGGTCATAATCAGGCCTCCAAAGTAAAGGGCACATAGGCTTTGGGATAAGAAATACCTGGGTTCAAACTTAAGTGTGCCGTTTGCTAGTTAGGTAAGCTTGACCAAGTTAGAACTTGTTTTCTCATCTGCCAGATGGGAATAACACTACCTCCCTCAAGAGGGTTGTTGTGAATATTTTAAGATACACAGAGCTCCCAGCATACCGCTACAATATAGTACTTAATAAATGTTAGTATTTTTATTATCCAGGAGTTTGAATTGGCTAGAGTCCAGGACTATTAATTTTTAATCTTCCCAGAAAAGTCATCTAGGACTAAAGTCAAACATATTTATCCTGTGAGAACTATTAAATCCTTGTAAAGTTAACTTAGTGGGTAGAAAGGTTAAGAGCACTAAGGTGGAAGGATGTTGCCCTTGCCTCCATTCCATTATGGCTCCAACACACACACACACACACCCCCCCGGATCAAACCTGTCCATGTCTCCAACCCTACTTGATGAAAATGCCTATGGTCTCAAAGGTTAGAAAACTTTCAATCTTTCAAAACAAGAATGGGAAACTGAGGCCTCAGGGCAGTGTATATTCCATTAGAAAAGGAAGGAGGGAGAGAGAGGAGGGGATAGTTACTATATTTTCTTGTCATTAGCAATATAATGGCTCCCATGTGTTGGAATCCCAGTCTGGTAAGAAGAAATGACTCGAAGGTCATGGATAGATCTCACTGTCCACTGTGAAAGCTCTCGTAACACCTTTAGGCCCCACAGCTTCTTCTCGAAGAGACCACCATCTCCACCAATAATGGGCATCCCATCAGCCTCGTTGGGGGGGATCTTGTGTTCTAAGAGCATCATTAATTCCTCCAGCTGGTAAGCAAAGGCAGCAACTTGGAGCAGGATGGTATGTATTGCTTGATGGAAATCCCCTTCAGCTGGAGTAAAATGCACCTGCTGGTCTTCTAAAAGCCTGGCCAACATAGCATGGAAGGCACGATAAGCTTGGAGGTTCTCTTGGAGTCGCTCTGCCTCAGTCAGCTCACTCCACCGGTCAGTGCTTGCCACTGGCACGCCATCCAGAGAGTCCAGGTTTATGTTCTCGTTCAGGCCCTGATGCTTCATCTGGCCAAGGATACATAAAAACGTCACATCTTCTGTAATTATCCCAAAATTTTCATTTAATTTCTAAATCTCATGTGAAGTCTTATAAACCTTCCTGGTCAAGGATCTAAATTGTAAAGAAAATAAAAATTCTCCAGAAGGAACTCTTCATTTGGGATCCAATGACTGGACTTTAGGAAGACCTTACTCTCTCTGAAATGATATATACTGCTTTGACTACCTATTCACTTTTTGTGGGAGAATTTGCAGCTTTCAATAGATTCTGAAGGTTGAAAAACACTGGTCTACAATTTTTCCTTCCCACTTTGAACTCCCTCCTGGAAACTGGAATACTTGAATCATACTGGAGTTTTAAGTATTTTAAAACTTGAAGACACTGACCAGACCTATTAAGAAGCCCTAGAATTAACCCACTGCAGAATTTTTCTAACCTCCTCTCCTTCATTATCCACTCTCAATGGTGAAGACAATCCTTTAAAGAATTCAGTGGGAATTAAAGAAAAATTAAAAAATAAAAAACGTCACTTCAAAGAGTCTGACTGCTAACTGGTGAGGTTGTATAAAGATAAACAAATTCTCAGAGAATTTAAATTTAGAACTCTCCTTTTCAGTGTTTCTATAACAGCAGGCCTTAGGTGAAGACTGATGGGGATCTCCCACTATCAGAAAACCAACCTGGAACTGCATGGTTAGCTCCTTTGACACTTCCCTAAGTCCCCAATGAATCTTCTAGGGGGTCCTTTTGATAGTGTAGGTGACCACTCAGACACACAGAGACTTGATATATGTAATGAAAGAGTGGGTGGCTAATACTGTACAGAAGAAATTCTTTGGGATTATGCTGTTCTTCTCCCAATCCTATAAACCTCATTCTTTCAATTACATAGCTCAAAAATTCAGACAATGTGGATGAAGAACCCACACTTAGAGGGCCCATGTTTAATCTATTCTGGGAGAATTCAGACTGTAGGCAATCAAATTAGGAATAGTCTCCACGACATGTAGCCAATCCTACCCAGAAACCTATGGCTATTTTCTTATTCAAAGAACATGTCTCCTAAACAGCCCAGAGAAGAAAATAAGGTCACAGGAATTTCCTTAAGGGAAGGAACCATGTCAAGTAATAGGCGCCCAATCTATGAATGATTTTATGATTAGGGCCTTCATGACTGGTAATGGGGGCTGGAACATGATGATAAGGAGCTGCATCAGAAGAGATGAAGTGAAAACAGACAACAGCAAATTAGGCAACTTACATAAGATTCCAAAAGAGCAGTCAGGTCTGAACGAATCTTCCTTGCTAGCCAGATAGAGCGGCTACAGAGGTCCCGGCGGTGAGGGGTCAGCGGTGAGTGCTCTGCAAAAGCCATCCCCTAACTCAACTGTCCCAGGAAACAAGTGAGCTGGGTTTGCTTCTGTCTACACTGGTCCAAATAAGAAATGTGACTCTCAGACTAAATCCACTGGGCATTCTCTACTAATGGGATTGTGCACCCCACCCCCATCCCCCTGCCTGACTCAGAGGTGGCAGCAAATTCCTGGCTGTGGATTTTTGTGCCTGTGGAATCAAAGGCCCCTTTTTAATCAGCTTTCTTTCCTGCAGTGTCTGCCTCCATCTCTCTCCTCCACCAGTGCCGAGCCTACTTGTTTTTATGTCATTGTTTTGCTTTTGCACTTAGCAACAAGGTCACTATCACACTAATCCTCATGACACCCCTGCCTAATGTGATCTACTTTATATACGCATAATCAGTTCATTTTGTTATCACCGTCCCTTGCACTCCCCATGTCCTCTTCCTTCTTTCTTTCCTTTTTTGGCCTGGTAAAGTATTCAATAATATTAAATTATCATCAATATAGCTGCCATTGATTAAGCAGCTATTCTGGGACAGACACTGTGTGAAAGGCTTTAAAGCCTTTACTTAATCTTCAGGATAATTCTGTGAGATAAATATTATTTACCCCATTTTACATTAAGAAACTAAGGCTTAAAGAAACTAAATGTTGCACAAAATCCAACAAGCAGGCATATCATTTAAATATAGGTCTCTGATTCTCCCATTGACTTTGCAATTTCATTCTTTAGGTTTTTTATATTTTGCTCAGGAAATAAAATTTATGTGAAATACATCCTTTAAAAACACAGCATCTTTTCACTTCTATTGTTTCATTACATATTTAAAGTTAGTTTCATTTACACTCGACTAAACATCAGCCAGGTAAGTCATCTCTAACCTCGATCTTGGTGCCTTCCTCGCAGCTACAGGATGAAGAAGGTAATGTTTAGGCCTGTTCTCTTCCAAAGGACAGGAAACACCCAACCCTGACTGGGAAACAGTTCTAAGGCAGTCTCAAGTGACAACATGCTTTTCTTTTTCTTCCTTATCCCAGTCATACCACACTGCTTCTTAACAACTTCCGAGAATGAGCTGGGCTTTGAAATAAGGGCAAAAGAGTTTAAAAGCAGGTGCAGGATTCTCTTCTACTGCATCTAACTTAACTCTGCAGGTTAGAAGATGATGCTCCCAGAAAGAGCTAAGTCATCCCCAAATCAACTAACTTTCACTATTTCATACCACAGACATTTTCTCTAAATGGAAACACATGCCTTCTCAGGTACAAACTTCCACAGGGAAACAATAAACAAGGGGTGGAGGGGAGGAAAAGTGAGACTGGCAGCCCACAGTAGGCCTTTTAAGAAGGTAGGAGGATTCTATTTTTTCTTTTTTTTTTTTTTTTTAAAGTTAGTACTTGCTGTGGACATGGAGTTTTGTGAAAAAGCACTGATATGAAATTTATCAAGGTTTTGTCGTTATCAGACTAACATAAACCTCACAGCATCCTTAAAGTTCTCTCTTCTAGATTAATAAGGCCATCTTTTCCAGAAGGCTCAAACACAGGAGGAGTTTCCAAGCTGGCCAGATGATCATAGAATCCTATGGCAACTTAGCATTAGCAATCAAGAACCAAGAGTCAGAAGTGAACTATCTCACTCTGCCGGAGAGAAGCAATAGCACCTGCCTTTACATAAATGTCGTGCTCTGGCCACTGGATTCTCAGTTAACAGTATCAATTGTTTTAACCCTTTGGATAACTGTAACTCAGTACAATCAAGGAAAACAAGTTGCTTCCATGAAGACAACTTTTATTTTTCTTCTTTACATATTTATTTTGGATATGCCTTACCTAGATTAAGAGAAAACAAGGATTTGAAAAGCAGAGTATCCCTTTTATTATAATTTCTTTTTACATAACCTTTTCAACCTAGATTCAGGTAACTACCTGTCTCTCCCATCAAAGGAGAAGGGTCCTGCACATTACAACAGGCAAAAAAGGCTTTTAGGAAATAAAAATATTTTAAATTGATCCATTACAATTTTTTAATTTTCTTGAGTACATTGAAAAGTGGGAAAAAGGAAGGAAAAATGGTACTTTAAACAACCAGACTGTAATAGCCTTAGCCGGGTTTAGTACACTCTTTATATTTTTTCCAACAGGTACAAAGGAGGTTCAAGTGCTCTATGTAGATGCTTTTCCATACCTGAATTCTTTTTTATTCCCAGTAATCCTGGCCAGTGTTTTTCCAAACTCTCTGGAGCATAGTAAGTCTCAATTATGCAGAATAACCTTGAACAACCAGAGACTAGGGGAAAGCGCATCTCCCAGAAATAATACTTGTATTTCAATTACATTTTTAGAATTTTGAACTGCCAATTCAGATTGGAGAATATGCAGTGGGGAGAGTTATTAAAAAGGTAACTCAATTTGACTAAGAATAGAAAATGCAGAATTTTAAGACTGAAGGGGCTCCTTGGAAGGACACAGAAGTGAACAGCATGAGAAGCAGACAGGCAAAAGGAAGAGGGCCTAGTATAAGACAGCTTACTTACACCACTCTTTATTGTGCTAGCATCTCTTTCTCAAAAGGAAAAAAGATAAAAGTCCATGAAGAATATTTTAAGATTGACTGCAAACTGCTGTAATAATTTACTGAAGCAAATTATAGGCAAGTGATACCTATAAAGGGGTCAAAAAACAAAAGGAGGAAGAAAAGAAAATTTCTAATTATTAGAACTAACTTGTTGCTTTGGTGGGGAGGAGTGTGATATAGGGAAGAACATATTTTCCCTCATTCTCAAGTTTTTTTATGCAGTTTGCTTTTGTGTAGGTGGTTAAAATATCTGATGACTAACCACTGCGAATATAACTTACAGAGACAAAGGAGATAAATGTGACAGAGACAAAAGTAAGTGTGGGGTATAGATGCGAGCTAGTGAAACAGTACAAAATGGACTTATAATGGGAGTGGAACCACCTTGTTGTAAACCCACCCAATCAACCTGATAAGTATGTTCAAATGTACTCAACATACCAAGTCAATTCCAAATCCTTACTGTGGGCAGGAAAGCATATTCTACATCCCTTCTATCCTTATTCCATTTTCTACCCCCACACTGGAGGGATGGCAAATCTGCAACACTCTGAAAAGAAACAATAGTGCATTTAAGTCTGTTCACTGTAGGTGTCTGACTCCCTATTCCCTGGCATCCCAACCACTGACACTAGTGGGTGTAAAGTAAGCCTCTTTCAGAGATGACATTTTGTTACCCCCTCTTTTGGGAAAAAATAAATCAAAGAGAAAATTGATAAACTTTGTAGTTTTAGTGTTTGTGAAAAACAAGCTGTTCCCTATTTTGCTCTCAGCAAAACTTCATTCTTTCCAACAGCCATCACACATTTCTGACAAACAATGAATAGGGCAAGCCTTTAATTCCAGCTTGTGAGGTACACAGGATAGAAACTGCCCTTCTAATTCTCTAAAAATGAGCCAAAGTAAGTTTTTAGTCTTCTGGGAGTTATAAACTTATACAAAAACATCACCTGTCTCTCCCATGGCCAGTAATAAGCAATCCACCCCAAGAAAATCCCTATCTCAATGGAAGTGGTAATTCCCAGAATTTTAGGTGAAAGCCAAAGACATTATTATGCAGATTATTAACTTTGTCTATGGAAGCCTTTCCTCTTCTGAAGTGTTATTTTTTATAAAAAGGAAACAGAGTGATTTTGACTTCAAACTGTACGAGTCGTAGACTATCTCTTCGCTAATGGTAGTGTCCTTCACTAACTGGGATCTGGGATGAAACAATGATAAAGCAAAGCAAAACCAAAAACAAAGCAAGGGGCCAGAATTGGGCCAAAAGGAAGGTCTAGAAAGAAATAATGGGGATAAAAAAAGAAATAAATTCACAAGAGAAAATCTTTTATCTGTAATTCAGACCCTGAACAACCCTTCTCATCCCCTTAAAATTTCTAAATCTCAATGCTCTAAGAACTCAAAGAGCACTAATTACCAAAAACCTAACATCTTTCCCTAAAAAGGCTTCCGAGAAAGCACTAGGCTACTGTAGTGATTTTGTTAGTGCTGAGGACCAGTTTTCGTTAAAGGCCACTGGAGAGCTATGATTTTAGAGGCTGGCTGTGCTTCTTCAACCCTATATCCTGCCTTCTAAAGTACCTCTTATGGAAAGGACCCCATGTCAGAATAACCTAATCTCTCCCAGCCCCACAAAATATAGCAACGAAGTACCCCCCACCCAAAAAAAATCAGACTTTCCGTTAATAAATAAGGAATCTCGGGTTCCACAACACAAAAACACACATGTTCAAAGTGCAAATTTCTGCCATTAGTCTGGGACTTGTCTCACTGATACAGAGCCCTGTCTTATGGTCAGAGAAACCATGCAGAGGGCAGCCCCCTCCCTGTTGGGAGCCTGCTTCCAAGCTAGTGAGCACCACTGAGAACCAGATGGAGGTGGTGGAAGGGGACTTAAGTGCTGGGGTCACAGAGGAGGGAGGTGGTCCCCATGAATCCTTCCTTTCTGAAACCCAGCAGGGAATGGAGGAAATGGGGTTGAGTGAGGGGGTGTGCTGTTTTAACAGCTCACCCTGCTAAGGGGCCTAAAGTGCCAAGTCAAGCTGCCAGCCTCCAGAGATTAGAACTGTATGATACTTTGGGGGTAAGTAAGTGTGCTGCATTGGGTAGAAGCCAGAACCATAGGGCAGCAGTGGAGGAGAAGGGGTTTAGAGGACAGTAATATACTATCAAGAGTTAAAAGCTGATCCAGAGCACATCAGAGTTACAGGTTTAAGAAGGGATCTGCCGGTGAGCAGGAAGTCTGCCTGGCTGGAACCAAGTAGGAGGATAACCCTCACTTTAAGAGCTTCTTTTTTGCCTACCTTTTTGGTAAAGGCAACATCAATTTTATAAAGGGGACAATAGAGGGAGAAGAGAGGGTGTAGGTGTGTGTGCTGTGATTCACAATGGAAAGAGCAGGCCCTTCAGTTATTTTACTAGATTTTAAATGCTTTAAATTTTTTTTTTTTGTCCTTTTTATCTTTTAAATACAAAGTCTGAGCTGTCCCACTGCCCAAAGTCTTCCCTTCCACTAAGGTCCAGTAGAGTCTGAATCTTCAATCAGAACCTCTGTGGTAGCACCGAGTATATCCGAGTTCATGACCAGCCCTTCAGTGCCCCCACTGCTGCCACTTCCCACAAAGATCTTCCCATCAGCCATCAGGCTCACCCGTTCTGTCCCACTACAGTATGACTTTGACATCCCTTCAGCTTCTAGGAGGAGGCACTCTCCAGACGTGGAGTTTCCCAATGGCTCAGGAAGAAGAGGAAGACCCTGCCCATCTGCAGGTTGTGTCAGCGACTCTGGGCTAGTGCCCAAGATATCTGTGCTGGTGATGAGGGCGCCTGCATTGGCAGCCAGAGCTTCGGCAATCAGCACCTCAGGGTGGCTTTTTGCTTTGTGTGCCACTACGCTGTCCTTCTTC